ACACACACACACACACACACACACACACACACACACACACACACACAGGGTTGGGCCTGAGAAGGAGAAACAGAGACATATGGACTTAGTCCAGGTTCCTTTCAACACAGCTGAGGAGACCCTGCTAGTAAATTTCTGCCTTCTGCCTAAATGCGGTCTCCCAAAGCAAACTGCTTAGTGTTTAGAAAAATGAAACAGTTATTATCTGCCCTGCCATGTCTGTGGCTTGTGATTTGTACCCAGCAAATAATCAAAGGGCCCCCCACAGTGCACCTGGTATCAGTGAGTTCAAAAACATAGCTTCGATGGTGTTGCCTTACAGTTCTGAGTGCTGGTGGTAAGTAGGAGAGAATGTTCATGTTGGGGAGGTAGTCACAGGGCTTTTAAGAGAAGGGAAGGAGTTCAGTTTGAAGGCCCCAGAGCATCAAACAGCATGGACCAATGGGATAGCATAAGTAACTAGGGAAAGGGCAAGAAGCAACTTAGACACTCAGAGAGGCAGCTGGTGGATGGCCTTAGAGACCATCAGCGGGATTTAGATGATCTGTAGTTGGCTATGCTAAATCACTAAGACCTTTGTCCCAGTGCCATGGCTTGTCTGCTGCATATGGGGGACAGGCTGAGCAGGAAATGCCAGGCTCACTGACCATGGCCTTAGGCCTTAGGCACCAAGGTAAAAAGCGCATTCCAGCAGAGCCAGCTCAAAGTGTAGACTCCGGAAACGGCACAGACAATTCGAGCCCTGGAGGAAGCTCTTTCCGTGTGACCTTAGGCTTGTCACTTCCCTCAAGGAAGCAGCTGGACTCAACTGTGAAACAGGAGTTTAACATTGACTCTGAACCACACAGCTGTTGGTGTCTTAGATCCGATGCGCCATGGTGGGGGGGGGGGCACTTGGAACAGTAATTGGCATTAAACACGCGCATGTTGAATCTTAGCTCCTATTAGTCCTTAAAATCATTGAGTTTTTACAGGGAGAGAATGACGATGACGATTGTGTTGAAGAGTTATTATATTCAACTCATGGTACTCACTCAAACTTTCATCC